CCCCAAAACCCCAAAACCCCAAAACCCCAAAACCCCAGCTAGGCAATTTGTGATTGAACTGTAAATGGATAGATTTGGTGCGATATTTGTACTAACACATAAGTGGAACCTTCTTCTCAAACCAAAGCATGTCAATTTCATGGACGGCAACTGTCAATCATACTCTTTCTTCATAAGTCATCACAGATGAGAAATCAAGATAATACCGATCTATAGCTTAGAAGCTGATGGCTTACCAGCATTGGTTGTACATTCCATTCCTCATCCAGTGGAGTGTTTGACGACCTTAGACAGAACAACACCATCCTTTCTCAGGTCCTTAATATCGTAGCTAACTGGAGAGCATGTTGATCAAAGTGGTTCGAAGCAGAATCCTAGGGTACACTTAGTACCACTGATTTCGTAAATCGGATTGCCATTTACATCTAAAATCTCCATTATCATCTTAAAACAGCTAAATTTGTTCCTAATCATGCCGAGATAAGTCTCATCGTGGTCGTAGACTCTGATTTCAGGCCTTCAGCACCCCAGACATGGGATACTAAAAGATTTTTCGTAGGAGTACATTAGCTCTGGCTCTGAGTCTTCTGTGAAAATGGCTCCGTTGTAAGCCCGCCATCTTGGAAAACAGCAACAAATCCTTGAGCATCTGGTGCTCTTCTCGTACACGCCCATTAGCTGCTTCTGTTGCTTCACAACTTCGTGAATGATTATCTGTGAAAAGTAAGATTTAGAAAAATTATTGACGAATTATCTATCTAAGCAAGATCTATAAGCCCCTTGGGTTAAATCCTCGTGGAGTCCAGATCGACATCAGAGTCAAAAATAAATTCTAGGTAAGAATACAGCTAAAATCAATGGCCGACTGAGGTATCCACAGATTTTTACATAAGAACGGAAAGGGGCTTTAAAAGTTAGACTTTTATATTAGAGATTTTCGACCCTTGGAGAAAAGAAATAGTTCAGAATAATTCATCTAAAATTTCCAATGAGTCAGCTTAAAATTGGCAAAATTACCCACTAGAGCCATGATCATTCTCTATTAATCGGAGATTCCAAGTATGGTTACCTTATAACGATTTTCCTTGGAGTAAATCCCACAAGTAAGTGTCTCTGCCCAGTCAGGTTCTTGCTCAATAATATATCTCTCATGGGTCTCATATTTCTGCTTTGCTCGGTCCCGACTAGTCTTTGAGGCCTTATTAATAGTGCTCTAAACTTGATAACACATCTGTGACTTACGCTCAAGTAGGTATTCCTGACTGATGATTTCCTCATTTTCAATATTATTTTTTCTCCAAGGGGTTTTGGGGTTTTGGGGTTTTGGGGTTTTGGGGTTTTGGGGTTTTGGGGTTTTGGGGTTTTGGGG